TGACGCTGAATTCAGCAGCTCCTCCGGGGCTGCTCAGCAGCGGCAGCAGCAGCAGCAGTAGCAGCAGCAGCAGCTGCAGCAGCAGCAGCAGCAGCAGCAAGACGATTGCTCATGAGTTTGGATTTCGTCAAGTTTCCGTCAATTGCTGCATCTCCGGGCTGCAGCGCCTTCAAAGCAATTCGCTGCAGCAGCAGCAACTGCAGCAGCAAGTGCAGCAACAACTCCAGCAACAACTGCAGCAGCACGTGCAGCAACAACTGCAGCAGCAGACGCAGCAGCAACTGCAGCAGCAAGTGCATCAGCAACTGCAGCAGCAGCTGCAACAGCAACTGCAGCAGCAGGCGCAGCAGCAGTTGCACCGGCAGGTGCAGCAACAGCTGCAGCAGCAGCTCCAGCAGCAGCTGCAGCAGGGGAGCCTTGCAGCCTTAGCAGCAAACCTACGCAAAAGCACACAGCCACCAATGCAGTAAATGCAGCAGCAGCTGCTGCTGCTGCAGAAACAGCAACAACTGCTGCTGGAAGAGCAGGAGCAGCAGCTGCTACAGCGGCAGAAACAGCAGCAGCAGCAGCAGCAGCAGCAGCAGTTTCTGTTGTCAAGTCTTTACCCCAGGCTGTGAACGATTGTGTTTGCTGCTGCTGCAACAGTTTTTCGTTTCTCTGTCCTAACCCCACGAGGGTTTAACTCCAAACCCTAAACCCTAAACCCTAAACCCTAATGCCTAAAGCCTAAACTCAAAATATAATGAAAGAAGGGAGACACACAATATGCTGCTTGGGGAAGGCTGCCTCCATCCTGCTGCTGCTGTTGTTGCTGCTGCTGCATTTGATGCTGCTGCTGCATATGATGCTGCTGCTGCTGTTGCTGCTGCTGCCGCGCCCTCACAAACAGATTGCGCCAGTTTCGTTAAGTACAGCGACAGCAGCAGCAACAACAGCAACAACAGCAGCAGCAGCAACAGCAGCAGCAGGAGCAACAGCAGTAGCCGCAACAACAGCAGCAACTGAGTTAGCAGCAACAAACGATGCTGCAGGAGCAGCAGTACAAGAGCCTTACTTAAGTGTTGCAGCAGAAGCAGCAGCAGCAGCAGGAGCCCGCAGCGAGCCTAGTCTTCCAGCCGCAGATAGCAAAACTCTAAACCCTAAACCCTAAGCCCTAAACCCTAAACCCTAAACCTCCACGTATATATACTCACCACAGGACCCGAGTTGGGGTGTACAGGCAGATAAATTAATTTAAAAATCATAGAAAAAACTGCTAAAATATTATTGGCAGCTAAACTGCAGCAGCAGCAGCAGCAGCAGCTGCTGCTGCTGCTGCTGCCGCTGCAGATGCTTCTGCTGCAACCGAAGACAATCTAAATACGATTAAACAGGTAATCCTCTTTCTGCTGCTGCTGCTGCTGCACTTGCTGCACCTTTAGCTGAGGCATCTGCTGCTGGTGTTGCAGCTGATATTTGTGTTTGTGCTGCTGCTGCTATTTGGGTTCCTGCTACTGCTGCTGCTGCTGCACAGCGTCTGCAGCAGCAGACTGCGTCTTTTTGTTGCTGCTACTCTGATTCCCTGCGGCAAGGGGAGTCGGTGCTGCAGCAGCAAAAGCAGCAGCAGCAACAGCAGCAGCAGCAGCGACAACAGCAATAAAAAGGAAGCTCCTCAGCTGCTTGCTGCTGCACTAAGGGCGTTTACGTATAAGGTCCCTGAAGCAAATAAAACTCACCAGCAGAAAGCCGCTGCTGCTGCTGCTGCTGCTTCTGCTGCTGCTGCTGCCGCGGCTTCTGCTGCTCAAGTTGCAACGGCTGCCAATTCAGTTGCTGCTGGAGATGGCGCTGCTGCCGCTGCTGCTGCGGCGGCACTTGCTGCTGATGCTGCCGGAACTGCTGCTGCTGCTGCTGCTGCTGCCTCCTTTGGTTTTGGTGTTGCTGCCGCTGCAGGTTATGTTGCTGCTTATGGAGTACTGGGTTTTGCTGCTGCTGCTGCTGCTGTTTCCCAGGAAGCAGCTTCTGCAGCAGCTCGTTTGCTGCTGGTCCTCTGCCTAGGAGGCCCTCAACAACTTGCTGCATTTGCATCGTAATCATTTGCTGCTGCTGCTCACTTTGCAGCTGCTGCAGCTGCTGCTGCTGCATTAGCAGCAGCGGCGCATGCAGCAGCATATCCTGACCTACCTGCTGCATCCTATGTTTTTGCTGCAGCTTCCGGTGATGCTGCTGCTGCTGCTGCCTTTGCTGCATCTGCTGCTGCTGCTGCTGCTGCTGCTGCATGCAAGAATGTTCTTGCAGCACTCCATCTGCAGTTATAATCCAATCACCGGGGAAGGGAACGACAAAGTCGACGCCCCCAAAAGCCTTATAACTGCAGCAGCAGCAGCAGCAGCAGAAGCAGCAGCAGTAGGAGCATTAGCAGCAGCAGCAGAAACGCCAACAAGGTATATCACTGCAGCTGCTGCTACAAAGAAAACTGCTGCCGGTGCTGCTCTAGCTAGTACTAATGCTGCTACTATTTGTGCTGCTTCTACTATACTACTACTGCTATTGCTGCTGCTGCTGCAGTTGCTGCTGCTGCTGTTGCTGCTGCTGCTGTTGCTGCTGCAGTTAACTTACAAAATTCCATCTCCATCTCGCAGCAGAAAGCGAACGCTTCGTTCTGTGGGCAGCACGAAGGAGAGTTCAACGTTGTCTATTGCTGCTGCTGCTGCTGTTGCTGCTGTTTCTGCTGCTGCTGCTGCTGCAGCTGCTGCTGCTGCTGTTGCTGCTGTGGGTACTAAGGGAACCCCAGCCCAAGCCCCGCTGCGGCTGTCGATATAATGCGCAGAGCCACCACGCCAGTTGCTGCCAGCAGCAAATGCAGCAGGGACACGAACGCTAATACCTGAACAAGTAACTGCAGCAGCAGCAGCAGCAGCAGCAGCAATAACAGCAGCAACGGCACAGCATAGGAAATGAGCAACTCTAAAGAGCAGTGCTACTGCTGCTGCTGCAGCTGCTGCTATTGCAGTAGCTGCTGCTGCAGCAGGACTCTGCGGCTTTTTGTATTCTACAGGGAGTATGTAGAGAGGCCTAGGGTTTAGGGTTTAGGGTTTAGGGTTTACGTCTGTCTCCCTGAGCTACGTGGCCGTCTCTAAAGCTGATAATGCGTGCGCCTTGAGGGAGGGTGTAGAAGCAGTTGTTTTGCTGCTGCTGCAGTTGCTTCTGATGCATTTCGAGTTCCTGCTGCTGCTGCTGTTCTTGCTTCTGCTGCTGTGGGGTTGATGGTTCGTGGGGAACCGCAGCAGCCGCCTTCAGCGCCTTCTGTTGGTGCTGCAGCAGCTGCAGCAGCTGCTGCTGCAGCAATTGCTGCTGCAGCGCTGTTTGCTGCAGCATGGAAACAGGGAATGAAGGCGCATCTCCTTCGCAGCAGCCGCACTGAAAATCATGCAGTTTGCTGCATCCATCTGCAGCACACGCAGCAGCAGCAGCAACAGCAGCAGCAGAAGAAGCGGCATCCTCATGCACGATATTCATCGTGTAAATTTATATTACAAAAGCAAAGAGAAGTGCAGCTGCAGCAGCAACAACAACAGCAGCAGCAGCGGTACTAACAGCAGCAGCTGCAACAACAATATCAGCAGCAGCAACAATAGCAGCAGCAACAACAGCAGAACAAGCACCGCCACCACCACCACCAACAGTAGGAGAACTAGCAGCAATAGCAGCATCAATAGCAGCAGCAGCAGCAGCAGCACTATCACTAGCAGCAGCAGCAGCACTAGCAGCAGCAGCAGCAGCAGGTGTTACCTGAGAAGTAGCAGCAGAGTATTTTCCCCGTATTAAAATGCGGCAGCAGGCCGAGCAGCAGCAGATCTCCGCTTGAAGGGTCGTCATGCAGACAAACCAAAGGAGACGTATGCCACCCCACCTGCAGCTCTGCTGCTGCTGCTGCTGCTGCGTCAACTGCTGCTGCTGCTGCTGCTGCTGCTGCTGCTGCCGCTGCTTCTGGTGCTGGTGGTGGTGTTGCTGCTTCTGCTGCTTCGGCTGTTGCTGAAGCTGGAGACGTTGGTGATGCTCCTTCCGGTGCTGGTGCTGCTGCTGTTGCTGTTGCTGCTGCTGCTGCTGCTGCATCAATAGCGGAAAGCTCTTCTATGGCTGCTGGGCCTACAAGGTAATGAATGCGACCCTCACGCCTGCACACACACAATAAACCCTAAACCCTAAACCCTAAACCCTAAACCCTAAACCTTAGGGAGGGCCACCAACATCAACAGCAACAGCAACCACCGCGGCTGCAGCTGCAGCAGCAGCAACAGCAGCTGCAGAAACAACATCAATAAGGGCAGCAGCAGCATCAACAGCAACAGCAGCAACGAGGACACCAAAAGCAGCAGCAGCAGCAGCAGCAGCAACAGCAGCAGCAGCAATAACAACAACAGCAACAGCAACAGCAACAGGATCAGCGAGAAAGCCAACAGCACCAGCAACGGCGAGAAACACAAGAGGAACAGTAATAGCAGCAGCACCACCACCACCATCATCAGCACCATCAGCACGAGCAGCAGCAGCAGCAGCAGCAGCAACAGAAACAGCAGCAGCAGCAGCAGCATGAGGCTGAGTCTAACCAAGGGCGTGTGGGGACTCCGTTGCTGCGTATGCGGGGCAGAGAGTAAAGAATAACGCAGGAGACAGCAGCACCGTTTTGCTGCTGCGTCATGCCGCTCGCTTTTGAGCCTAAAGCTGCTACCAGCTGCCGCAGCCGCAGCTGCTGCAGCAGCACCCGCTGCAGCACCGAACAGCAGCTAATAGGATTCTCCACAAGAGCTGCAGCAACAGCAAAAACAACAGCACCAGCACCAGCACCAGCAGCAGCACCAGCAGCAGCAGCAGCAACCATCAGGCAGCAGCAGCAGCAGCAGCGGCAACAGCAGCAGCAACACAACAGGATTAAAGAAAGACACCTTAAAGGAAAGCAGCTACTGCAGGCTCCTGCAGCATCAAAGCCAGCAACAAGCAGCAGCAGCAGCAGCACGAACAGC